CGATAAAAATAATGCCCTAAAATATAATACTTTTAGACTATTCTCTCCCCCATAGACTTCAATGCCGTAAACATATTTCATCCAGTTTTTCTCAGACTTCTTTGTCTTCTTTCAGATACCTCTCTTTCCAGCTTCAACAAAGTTGAAACCAATGGGTTTTGCTTTTTTGGTATATTTCACAGAACAATCTTTGTAGCAGATGAATATTCCCCTGACTTCCTAAAAAGATAAAGGTGAAAGTTTGCTTATCTGAGCTTCCTTTTTAGCTGACAACAAAGAGACTCTGGATAGTAGTTGAGGAAACAGCAAAAGAAGGTGACAAGGCTAGGGGGAAAGCTACAAGAAACAAAAGTCAAGCCTGACTAGGTATGACAGGATTTAGTCCAAATGGAGAACTGGTCTTCAATTCTAAAGGCTCTTGGGACAATGATCTAGTCTTTGTACTTGTCCTGATGCTTAGAAATGCATGCAGTTTAGATGTTTAATAAGTCTCTTTGCTATTTAATTGTAAAAAGTGCTTCCTAATAGATTTAGCTACAGAAGAGAAGCAGGACTTAATGGGCACATTGAGAGGCAAAGTAAGAGAAAAACTGAAAAATGCTAAGGTAATACTTTCTTCTTTTTTTTATTTTTATTTTCTATTGATTTGCTTATAAACTGTATATACATTGTGTTTCACACTGTTCTTCATTCACGTTGTAGTTCATACAATCATTGCCATTCGTTATGTTTTATAAAATGAATCACCATTGAACTATGCCTACCCTTACCCCGTCTTCTCAGGATCTTTCCAATTTCCTTCACCCCCTCCCTCCACCCACCAAATTGTGCAAGTCTGTGATTTCATCCCTACCCTTCCTCACCCCTCTGCTCCCACTCCTTCCCCCCTTGGATCCTGATACATGGTTTACTAGTTATCCTTCTATTTTTACAATAATGATCTTATGTAGTATTTGTTCTTATGAGAATGAATTCGTTCACTCAGCATAATTCTCTCCAGTCTCTCCCACGTTATGTAGTATTTTTTTAAATTGGTGCTCCAGAATGTTGGATGGTATTCTGCTATGTGAATGTGCCACCATTTCTCAATCCATTTTGTTATGATTGGACATTTGTATTCTCTTTTTTCTGTACCATTTTCTAATTTACTGTTTAAGTAAGATAAATAGTATAATAAATGTTTCTTTGTTAAGGAGCTAAAATTCAGGCTTAATTTAGCCTCTTAGGTCCAAAAAACTTCAAGTTCTTTCCCATGGTGACCCCTCCCCCCCGTAACTTTCCTGTGACCCAAACCCAAAGCTAAGAAAAATTATCTGTTCATAGAAATTATGTGTCATCTGAAAAGTATATATACATATATTTCTTTAAAGAAAAGCACTCAGAAGGCTTACTTTTTACCTACTTTGGAAAAAAAGAAATATTAGCATAATTTTATTATGTATGTAAACATAAATACTTATATAAAGATTTAACTCTCAATACCATTTACTTATGTTGTGTTTCAGAGTATGCAAGGTGAAAAGTCTTCAACTCGGCTGCTCTTTGATAATAACATATATCAATGGTGTAAGGTGAATAACTTTTTAAGCTAATATGGCAGTTAAATTATAGATACGAATAGTCTATAAGATAAATTTTTTTCCCTAGTCACATCTTTGCCACCTAATGAGTCGTAATTTTTATTGTAGTATAAATTCATCTCCCATCTCTCCTTTAAAACTATTTCCTCCACATTTTAGTCAAACTGAGTATCAATGCTGTGAATACTCAGAATAGACTGAGAAACAAGTTTGAGCAGATGGAGATTTGGATCCTACTTTATTCAGATTTTTATCATGGTTGCCAGAACAGTCAAACAAACAGCTTAGGAACCAACCAGATCCAGTGTTGTCAAGTCTCTTCCCACTCATAACAGCTCTGCATTGAGTTTCTGAGGTTGTGCATTTTCATGAAAAGAGATTTCCCATCTTTTCCCCCCTCAGAGCTGCTGCTTGAACCAAATCGACTCAAAGTTAAATGAAACTTGATATTATCTGTGCTGCTTCTTATTTATTAACATATGTAACAGAATAACTTCATACCCTATACCAAAATAATGCCATTTATAAGCAGAAAAAGTCCAATATTGGTTTACTATTGTTTACTCAACAGACAAGTGTCTCATTGGATGAAGGTCTTTCATTTTTCATCTTAAATGGGGAAGAAAACTCACATGGCCAAACTTCGGATCAAGTTTTAGAGACGGTTGGATTTTTTTTTCTTTTCCTTACCCTCAGGAAAACTAACGATCGAAAGACCAAGAATCAAATATTTGATAGTAGTTAAGTTTTATTATTAGGCCTTACTTTTTTGAATTGAAGTTATTTATGAATAATAATACCTTACATTTATTGAGTGCTTCCACATACTCAAGGAGGTGCTAAAAGTGTATAGATTGTATCATTCAGCCCTTATAATAATTCTTTGCGGGAAGCACTGGTGGGTTAGTGGCAAGTAGTTGCTCTTCAATCCCGGAGGCATGCGGTTCAGATCCACCAGCTGTTCCTCTGGAGAAGGATGAGCAGCGGTCTCCTCCCATACAGTTAACTGCCTCTGAAATCCACCAGAGGGTCACCTGTGGTTCAGTCCCAACTTGACAGTACACAGTCATAAAAACGTTACTGCTGAAGAAACTAAAGTTTCAAAAGTAAACATTGATGAAGTAGGGAATTGAACTTGGGCTGTAGCTTCCAACACCTGTGTTTTCTTTTTCTTTTCTTTTGTCTACCCTTCTCTTCATGTGTTCTATCCACATTATAGTCTATATAATTTTTTTGCCACCCATAGATTCCCCATTCTCTAGCCATCCCACTCCAATCTCAGACCTTTTCCATTTCCATTTCCTATCAGTTCATCCCAGTCAGTCTCACTCCTCATTCCTCACATCCTCCACCTCCCTTATTCCCAGGCCCCTCTTTCTTATCTCCTCCCATGAGTCTCACTGGTGTCCTCATCTGTTCCTGTCCCTCTATACTTTGACCAGTTCTTCCGCACCTTCAAATCTCTGACCCTTCCTCTATCCAGTTTCTTCTGTTCTTAGTTGTGTTGTTATGTACCTTCGAGTCAAAACTGACTCATAGCAGACCCTCCAGCACATTTCCAGAGGCTGCAAATTGCATGGGAGGACATTTCCCAACTTTCTTATTCATCTGCCATACTTTGGACATGATGCAAGGAGGGACCAGTTCTTAGGGACATCATGCTTGAGAGGGTGGAGCGTGACAGCGCAGGAGAGGAAGACCTTCGATGAGATGGATTGATTCTGTGACTCAGGTAATGGGGGTAGATGTGTCAGAGACAATGAGATTGGCACAGGATAAGGTCAGGGTTTAGGGCTGTTGTACATAAGGTCACTATGAGTCTCAGGCGACTCGACAGCACATAACAGCAACAACTTATTAAAATGGATAGACTATTGTTCTTTTGCTTAATTCTGATAGTTTTCTATTTTACTCAAAATAATTGCCTAAATAAGCAATTGCCTCTTTTTTTTTTTTTTTT